TTTAAGAATATCTGAAAACAAAAATAGACAACATGAAATAGATTTATTACTCATTTCAAATGATAAAACTAATCATTATTGTTTAATAAAAAGTTTAAGTAGATTACTTTCATCACAAATATCTAAAAATGAACATGCTATGCACTTTTGTCGAAATTGCTTGTTAGGATTTTGTACTGAAAAATCTTTATCAAAGCATAAATTGTATTGTGATACTCATGATTCAGTACGAATTGAGCTTCCAAAACCAAATACAATGATTGAGTTTAATCATTTTAAAAAATCTATGAGAGTGCCATTTGTAGTCTATGCTGACTTTGAAAGTGTTATAAAACCAATCAACACTTGCTCACCTAATCCAAATGAATCTTATACAAAGCAGTACCAAAAGCATACACCTAGTTCATTTTGTTACTATATTAAATGCTTTGATGAAAAAATATATCAAAGTAAACTAGTTACATTCACTGCAAGCAGTGAAGATGAAGATGTAGCACAAAAATTTGTTAATATGCTAGAAGAAGATGTAAAAAAGATTTACAACGATTATTTTAAATTTAAAAAAAAGATGATATTTACTATGAAAGACAAAAATAATTTTGATAATGCAAAAATATGTCACATTTGTGAAAAAGATCTTAATGAAGATAAAGTAAAAGATCATTGTCATATTACTGGAAAATATAGAGGTGCTGCACATAATGAGTGTAATTTACAATTTAAAAATCCAAAATTCATTCCAGTACTATTTCACAATTTATCTGGTTATGACTCTCACTTGTTCATAAAGAAATTGTCAGAAGGAGGAAAATCAGAAGGAGGAAAAATAAATTGTATACCCAACAATGAAGAAAAATATATCAGCTTTTCTAAAGAACTTAAAGTAAATGAATTTATGAATAGAGAAGGTAAAAAAGTTGAAGTTAAACTGTATCTACGTTTTCTCGATAGTTTTAAATTTATGGCTGCTAGTTTAGATAGTTTAACTAAAAATTTGTCAAAAGATCAATGTAAAAATATTAGTAGATACTATTCTGGAAATGAACTCAATTTATTGTTAAGAAAAGGTGTTTATCCTTATGAATGGGTTGACTCTATTGATAAATTAAATGAAACACAATTACCACCAAAAGAATCATTTTATTCAAGATTAAATGATGAAGGAATAAGTGATGAAGATTATTTACATGCTCAAAATGTATGGAAAGAGTTTAATTGTGAAACATTTAGAGATTATCATAATTTATATAACGAATCTGATGTATTACTACTAGCTGATGTCTTTGAAAATTTTAGAGATGTATGTTTTAACAATTACAAATTAGATCCTGCTTGGTACTATACAGCACCAGGATTAGCTTGGGATGCTGCGTTGAAAATAACAGAAGTAAAATTAGAATTATTAAGTGATTATGATATGATCTTAATGATAAAAGAAGGAATAAGAGGTGGAATTAGTATGGTTTCTAACAGGTTAGGAACTGCTAACAATAAATATATTGAAAATTATGATGAAAGTAAAGAATCTACTTACATACAGTATCTAGATGCAAATAATTTATATGGATGGGCAATGAGCAAACCACTTCCTACACATGGATTTCAATGGATGAATGAAGAAGAATTAAAAAATTGGAAATCTACTTCTTGCATATTAGATGTAGATTTAGAATATCCTGAATATTTACATGATGTTCATAATGATTATCCTCTAGCCCCTGAAAGATTAAAAATAGACAAAGTTGATAAATTAATACCTAATTTAAATCATAAGAAAAATTATATCATTCACTATGAAAACTTAAAACTGTATGAAAGATTAGGAATGAAAATAACAAAAATTCACAGAGGAATAAAGTTTGAAGAAAGTCCATGGTTAAGTAAATACATTAAATTAAATACAGATCTAAGGACTAAAGCAACAAATGATTTTGAAAAAGACTTTTTCAAACTTATGAACAATTCAGTATTTGGAAAGACAATGGAGAACATTGAAAACAGAGTTGATGTAAGATTAGTTACAAAAAGAGAAGAAGCTATTAAATTATCATCAAAACCAAATTATGAAAGTAGAACGATATTTGATGATAATTTAATTGCAATACATATGAAAAGAACAAAACTAGTTTATAACAAACCCATTTACTTGGGTATGTGTATTTTAGATTTGAGCAAAACACTAATGTACGAATTTCATTATGATTACATAAAAAATAAATATGGAGATAAAGCTAAACTATTATATACAGATACAGATTCATTAATCTATGAAATAAAAACAGAAGATTTTTATAAAGATATTTCTAATGATATTGAAAGTAAATTTGATACAAGTGAATTTAATAAAGATCATCCAGCTGTTCAAAATGGATTTAAAGTTGGTGTAAATAAGAAAGTAATAGGAATGTTTAAAGATGAGTCAGCAGGAAAACAAATTACGGAATTTATAGGACTCAGATCAAAGTTGTATTCTTACAAAATAGATGAAGAAGATAAAAAGAGATGTAAAGGAGTAAAGAGAAATATAGTAAAAAATTATATTACACATGAAGATTATAAAGACTGCCTGCTTAGCAGGAGAGATCAAATGAGAAAAATGAATGTCATAAGATCTCATTTACATGATATTTATACTGAAGAAATAAACAAAATAGCATTGAGTGCAGAAGATGATAAAAGAGTAATTCAAGAAGATGGTATTCACACATTAGCATATGGACATTATAAATTAAAAGAGAGTAAAACATTGGTTCCTTCGAAACTCAAACCCAACTTTTCATTTCAAATTGATTGGAAATAAACAGGCAAGCAGGCAAACACACAGGTAAGTTATTTTTTATATCTAAAGAGATCTAAAAAAATCTAATAAAGTAATAAAAATGGACAAACATATCAATGTTGAAGGAATTATATTGCCAAATGTACCCTTAACAAACTTTCAATTAATAAAAGCAGCAAAAAAATTAAAAATTAAAAACTTTAGAGGTGTATTTGTAAGAGATGAATTACCTAAAAATACACAAAACAAAGAATGTGGAATATTAAATACTGGAGATTCAAGTACGAATGGATTTCATTGGATTTGTTGGTATAAAGATGGAGATGAGAAATTAAGTTTTGATTCTTATGCACTACCACCTCCAGTTGAACTTGTTCAATATTTACACAGTCCTGTTTATTATAATAGTAAAAGAATTCAGTTTGGAGACACTTCTTTTTGCGGACACTTGTGCCTTTATGTATTAAAAAAGCTTGATGAAGGTGTTGATTTTCAAAGTATTGAAAACTCATTATACTGAATTAGCGAAGCAATAATCACATAGTGATTTAAAAAAAATATATATAGTATATAAAAAAATGAGTATGAATATAGCTGGTAGTAATTCATTATATGGTTACACAACAGATGGATTAAATATCAACATTAATGTTGGCAATACAGCCACTACTGATGTTGATTTAAATTCACATAAATTAATCAATGTAGCTGATCCTACAGATGCACAAGATGCAGCTACGAAAAATTATGTAGATAACAATCAAACTTCTAGTACTGCATGTCTAAAATTAGATGGAACTAATAGTATGAGTGCTAATATAAATTTGAATTCACATAAATTGATCAACGTAGCTAATCCTACGAATGCACAAGATGCAGCCACAAAGTATTATGTAGATAATAATCAAACTTCTAGTAATTTATATCTAAGAACTGATGGTTATAATCCTGCAACTGCTAATATAAATTTAAATACAAATAAACTTATAAATGTAGCTAATCCTACAGATGCACAAGATGCTGTTACAAAGAGCTACGTTGATGATATGCAAAATCAAAGTTTAGATATCATTCCCAATACAAGTTTAATATGCCTTGGACAAAAATCTCAAGCATTCTATGCAACTCCAGGATCATATACCATTTTTAGCTATAGTGGTAGTTCAGGAATTCTAAAAAAACTGTGGATTGCATTTACAGGATCTACTATTGCACCTAATACAGTACCAGGTAACTTGTTTTTAAAAATATATGCTGACAATGTACTTTGCATAGGTAATGATTCTATTGTAACAGATGGTGTAGGTGTCAATAATACAGCTTTAGCTTGTGATTTATTAATTGCACCACTTGGTGGATCTTATTATGCAAACTCTTTACAAGGATGTAATGTATTTAGTACAAGTGCATTAGGAGGATATTTTACATTTGATCTTCCTTTTACATCAAGTTTGAATATACAATTATACAATAGAACAGGAAATTCAGTGACCTTTTGGTTACAACCTTTTATCACAAGAACTTCATCGTTACAACAAGCATTAACTAGTATTAATCCTCTAATACCTCGATCTATCTCATCTATTAAGTTGTACTCATCAACATTTAGATATGTAAATACAACTTATGGTAGTGAATATATGCTAATGAATGTTATGGATAATGGAAACGGAGTGTATTTGAAATACATAAGAATGCATGTTGTTGGAGGATCTGGAGACTGGTGGGAATCTAGAGTTCGCATCTATGATGGATATGGTGCTCCTACCCATACTAACTCTGTCATTCAACCTTGGACACCCTATAATAATAATGGATATACTACATTTTCTGGATATGATGTTAACAGTCGATGTATCTACGCTTCATCAGGTTTAGAAGATTTTTATCTCTCTTCATGGAATGGATCTAATGTAAGCTCATTTAATAATGAGGCATCAGGATTGTTGAATCAATCAACTAGTATAATTGGTCCAACAACTACAATTTCATTTTATAGAAACTTTAATTCATCTGAAAGTATGCCTAGCGTTGGTATAGGTAGAAGAATGGTAGTGACACTCAACTCTGGTGATGCACAAGTTGGACAATCTGGAAGCTATGCTGCACTGATAGGACAATGTTTCTACTATGCTTAAGTAAAATCCTAGCGCATGCGCATTAAAAAAATAAAAAAATTTTGAAAATGATTTAAATAATTTTCTTGTGTATATAAAAAAGAATGAATCAAGAAAATAAACGTACAAAAATTGATTATGCTGCTCAAAATGGTCGCCTTGAAGTAATAAAATATTTACATTCTAAAGGATATAAAGGAACAGAATGGGCAATTAATTATGCTGCAGCAAATGGTCACCTTGAAATATTAAAATATTTACATGAATTAGGGTATAAAGGTTCTGAATGTGCGATTAATTATGCTGCAGTAAATGATGACCTTGAAATTATTAAATATTTACATGAATTAGGGTATAAAGGAACAGATCAAGCAATTATTAATGCTGCAATTAGGGGTTACCTTGAAATTATTAAATATTTACATGAATTAGGGTATAAAGGTGATAAATGTGCATTTAATTGTGCTGCAATGAATGGTCACCTTGAAGTAGTAAAATATTTACATGAATTAGGGTATGAAGGTGATGAATTTGCGATTATTAATGCTGCAGAATATGGTCGCCTTGAAGTAATTAAATATTTACATGAATTAGGGTATAAAGGAACAGATCAAGCAATTATTAATGCTGCAAAAAATGATCATCTTGAAGTCGTAAAATATTTACATTCTATTGGATATAAATAAGAAGCAAGAAAAAAAATTGAAAATAAATTTCTTTACATAAATTATAAAAAATGGATTGTACAAGTAAAGATATTAAATTAGGAAGTTATAAAAGAAGAATAAGTTTAGCTCGTTATTTGCAAAATAAAATTAAATTACATGCTGAAAAGTTAGAAAATGAAAGATTAGAAGAAGAAAAGTTAAAAACACCAGATCAAATTTATTATTAAGAAAAGTCACGTGACCTGTGACGTCATGCAAGAATTTTTCGTAACATTTCATAACAAGAAATAAAAATTAACACTTATTTTAAAAAATTGATTTTTTAAAATAAAAAATTATTTCTTATCTAAATAAATTATACACAATATGGTTAACATTGAACCCTATATTAATATTAATTTATGGTTGAAAATAAGGTTGAAAATGAAAATGAGCAAATACCGGCAATCTCTTACTACTTATATATATATATATATATAAATTTTGTTTGCCTGAGTTGCTTTTTAATGTAGATGAGTTTTTGAGGTTCCTCTTAGGATTCTAAATTTATGACAGGTCCTAGTATTGTTGAAATTTTTTTTTCTCTAAACTATATCAACCTGGTACTCAAAAGAAACAGAATAATATTAATTTTGAAAATAATATTTGTTTTAGTTGAAAATGTAAAAATTGATTATTTTAACGAGATTAAATAAAAATTTTTACTACTTAAAGTTTCATGCGTTTAGAAATTATCAGGTAAAAAATACATTGTTTTTTTCGTTAAAAAATATACTCTTAATATCGTGACATTCAAAAACAATTATAAAACTGTTACTTTTTTAATTAGCTAACCACAATTAGTAATCTGAGCTAATTAGTTACCGTGTTACTAATTATCTCAGAATGTAGTTGATGCACCCACTGTGCACTTTTTTAGAAAAACACCTTTAAAATGCTGCTTCAGCTGCAGCAATGTTCATCGTCAGCATAGGAAAGCCTGGTGTGCTTCACTTCATCAATTCTAAACTTTTATGTGGAAATTGTATTGATTACTGTAATATATAAAATAAAATAAAAATAAAAAAATAAAAATAAAAATAATTAAAACGTGAACGTAAACTTTAGGTTAACGTAAACATAAACTTTATATTAACGTAAACTTTATTTTCCTGAATTGTATAGAACTCGAACATCTTTTTTAGTGAAAAATCTTTTTTTGGTAAAGTTTTATCTTAACTTTACATTTATACAATACTGTAAAACTATAACGTTAGATTTTTTAATTTAATTGAATATTTAAAATTTTTTGAACATTTAAAAATATTTAAAAATTTTATACTTACTCAAAATAAATACTTGATTCAATTATGCTTTAACCATTAAACTGCATGGCTTTATCTATGAATAAACTAGTCAATGACTTTATCTATAGATTAATTAGTTAATAGCCTTATATATGAATTGCTCAGAATAACTTCAAATTTAGAATTCTATATTTACGGTAGATAAGGGTAATATGAGAACCTTAAGCGAAAATTAGAATATTTAAAAAAATAATTAAGCTGGATCTAAAATTTTTGCGAACAAACAATATTTAGGGATCCCTACTTATGATCCACTTAGATATTTGGGCACCCGAAATTTTTTTTAAAAAACACAAAGGTTTTAAAAAAGGAGCAAAAATGCTCATATCACCCAGACGACTTGGTAATATGAGCACTTTAAATTAGCTCAAAAATAACATTAATTAAGTAAAAAAATACCAACCTGACAATTAGAACTAATTTTTGCAACGAAATAATTCGTTTCTAACAAAACCTATTAATAAGAGATCAAATTTTAAGCCATTTTTTGTTGAAACAATACTGTAACGTTTTCCGCAAAAAAAAATTAGTTCGTTATTTTTTCAATTTTATTAACTCAAATCTTTAAGCGAAAAAAATTCAAATTTTTTAAATTTAAATTACAGAAAAACATTTAGTATTGTTAAAATGTAAATTTTTTTTACTATCTTTTGTTTTTATTTAAAAAGCAATTAAAACCACTACTATTTTAGGACTTTAAACTAAGTAATTTTAATGAAAAACACTGGGTAATTTGAGCACGCTCATGTTTCGCAAAAATGGCATCTTAAAGTAAAATCAAAACTAAATTCTTCTACGTATTGCTTTTAAAACAAAAATGGATTGAATTTTTAGCTAACATATTTTTCTTTATGAAAAAAATAATTTCATTAATTAGCATCAAAATTTCGTGCCACAGATTTATTCATGCGTAATGATATTATTTTATTAACGCAAAATATTTAGCAGCGTTTTAATTAGATGATAGCCGCTAATTACTGCATATAAATTTACGCTAATTGTATTGATTCCTGATACCACCACATAAAGTAGATTCGAAAAATACAAATCAAATTTAACTTAACTTCTTATTTATAAGAAATCTCAAAGTATGCTCATATTACCAAGGTGCTCTTTATTACCCTAATCTACCCTATAAATAAAAACAACAATGAAAAAAAATATAACTTAAAATAAATACAACAAGCTTTTACAACTTTTAAAATAAACACATTAAGACATTTTCATGGTTTAAAAGCTTAGATATTTTTTCTTAATACTGTTTCTACAAACTCTCAGTAATTCCGGTAATTAGGGCCCAAAAATGTTAAAAAATTCCCACTAAAAATTACAAAAACAAAAAGCTACTTAAATTTGCATAAGGGTCCTCTAAACTCACTGCCCCTTCTAATTGAGGGACGTTGGGTAGACTAGCCACGGCTCTGCTAGTATAGGATATAAAAATAATATAAATTATATCCTGCGCTATAAATATTTTTTCAAACAGCAAGCCGTTTAAAAGTATTTTTACGCGACATTTTAAGGATAAGCGCATGTGCGCATTTCACTTAACGAAATTCGTAAGAGTGGCACATAAAAACCAAGTGTAGTATAATAGGTGTATAAATATTCCAAAATAATTGCAAAGTACTATGGACGCCCAGTTAATTACAAGTTTATTTCAGCATACTTTGGATCCTTCTCCAGATACAAGAGCTCAGGCTGAAGCTCAGTTGCAAGAGGTACGTACTGAAGAGCTGCTTGATTTTTTTGATTTCAATTTTAGCTTTAGACAAAGTAAATTAATAATTAATAAAATTTTAAAGTTTTTAAATTGCATTTAATTAGATTTAAAGAATATATAACTATATTTTACAGACACTTATTTATAAGCATTGTAGTTAAGCATTTTTTACAAAATTAGCATAATTATTAATTACAGCTTTAGTTAGTGAACTAATAGAAGTGTTTTAATTGTTTCTATTGATTTGATTTGCATAGGTAAGAAAATGATAACACGGTCTTTTATTTAGCTTTTACAAAGTTTGTCATCTTCTGAACATATGGTTATCCAATTATTTCCTGGTATTTTTTCAACTTGTAAACAATGATTTTGGTTAAGACCAACTCTTATTGGCAAATACTTTAACTGGTTATGAACCAAGCCATATCTAAACATTTAAAAGTTATACAGTGCAATATTAGTTACAATATTCATGCTGTAAAATGATGTGAAAAAAAAGGAAACATTCAACTTTTTAAAACCAAAAAATAATGAACACTAGAAAATGTATACTTTCATGGAATGGTTTTGATTTGCAAAACTCAAATACTGTTATAAAAATAAAGTTAAAGAAATAATTTAATGAGGTGTACCGATTAACTTCTATTTGTAAAAGTTTTGACAAAATGGGCGTTTCCCAATGTTCATTTCGTTTTCCAAATAGTTTATTGACTTGTTTTTCAGATATGCCAGCATGAGATTCTATTTTCTAATTGTAAATAAAATTTAATAATTTTTTTGAATAAAAAATGTTTAAGAGAAAAAATTTTTAAAAATTTTGGTAATTCTAAGTCTTGTTTAATACAATCTTTAAAGCATTTTTAAAAGCTATTCTACATTTAAGTATTGTTAAATAATTTTAGTTTTTTTAGTATCGTATTGAAAGTTATATTTTCAATTTGATTTACTTGCAATATAATATATATATATATATATATATATATATATATATATATATATATATATATATATATATATATATTTACAGGCCTCGGCAGTAGTAAATGAGCGTGAAAGCAAAGATAAGCTCTCTTAAAACAATTAGTTAGCGTCATTTATTGCGCTGTGAAAAAATTCTTTAGACAAGCGTTGTCTTCGGGTTTTCACACTAACTGTCCATTTATTTGTTAATAGTATTACTTATCGGATAAAAATTTTTGACAAAAAGCTCTAAAAGTTTTTTCTGCTTATAAAAAATGTTTTATATTTTCTTATTGTTATAGAATTCAGACATCTTAAAAGATATTGCAAGAGTTAAAAATTCCACAATAAAAGTTAATAATATATTAAAGTAAATAAAGTGTAAACTGTAAAATTCATTATGTTAAATAAAAATTATTATTCAATAATTTAAAATATAATAGTTTTATATTTTATCAGTTAAATAATTTTGTATTTTATCAATATAATTTAGAGTGTAATAATTTTATATTTATAAGTTAGTCTAATCTAATCAAAAACATATGAATTTTAATCGGCACTTTTTTTTAATTTAATTTTTTTTATTTTTGCAACAACCGTGCCTTTTAAAAAGCATTGCAGTTTATAATGCAATAATTTATATTCAAGACTCATTAAGCATTTACCTTAACTAGTAATTTAAGGTGTTTAGATCAAGTAATTTATTGAAGTTATTTATTTTAAGGCATTTATTCATATTAATATGAAATATTTATAAATCAAATATAATAATAAAGTGTTACTAAGGCTGTTGGTCTTAATAAATAATAAATTGACCAATATATTGTTTATTTTTATTGATTCTTACTATCTGGTGATATTGAAAATTGGCTTCAGCTCCAGGCTTCTGCTCTATTAAAATTTTTAGGTCCAGCTCTGGTTCCAGAGCGGCTCCAGAAGAAACAAATTAAAATAATAAAAGTTTCATTTGACCCTTTGAAAATGTTCAACTGATTACGAAATGAAGTTCTCTGACTATGTTGATCCTCAAATAACTTTAGCTTTGTTAAGAACTATTTTTTCACCTCCTTACAACAAACTCCTTTGGTTAATGCAAAGTTTTTGTATGGGGAATAAAAAAATCAAAATAATTTGATTAAACAGTATTGACAGGAATGGTGTGTGATCACACATTGTAACTTACCACGCTTATAGTATTTTTCATTACAACTTGATCACGACTGTTTTGATGTTTTACCAACTTAAATGCAATAAAAAAGTTTTTACTCTATGAATAACTTTTAATCGTTGATCTTTTCCAAAGTTTTTATTTATGCAAAAATAAAATAAATAATTATTTATAACGATCAATTAAAATAAATTAATAATAAATAAAGCATTTCATTTAAATTAACAAAAAAAATTTTATTTAAATTTTTTTCATGTAAGCATGTATTTTTTATGATAAATTTAAACATTTGAAACTATTTACCATGACTTTCTAAAAATCTTTTAAAAGATTATTTTTTGAAGCTATTTTAAATTTTTTAATCTTTAATTATAAATAGGTTAAATTAAATCTTTCCATTGCAATGGAATGATTTAATTGCTTTTTTTTTTATTTACAAAGAATTGTTTAAAAACTTTTCTTTTAATTTTGACTTAATAATTAGTGCATGAAATGACTAGAAATGACTATTTTAAAAAGACTACATTATTAAAAAAAAATTTTTTTTTGCAGTTTTTTTCAAAAAATGTTTATACAAATTTAAAAATATTATATTTTTTCTTTTCAATAATTTAATTTCACTTTTCAATAATTTAAATAAAATTTGTTCATTTATTAAACAATTATTAGAAGTTATTTGTAAAAGTGTTTTGTGTAACTTTATAAAATGTTTCAAAAGATAAGTTTTAAAAGTAATTAATTTCAAGCGCAATTAAAACTGTAACAAAAAGTAATCTTTTGCACATCCAGGCTAAATAAATTCTCAAAAAAAATTAAAATTCATCACACCCTGCTCTGTATATATATATATATATATATATATATATATATATATATATATATATATATATATATATATATATATATATATATATATATATATATATATATATATATATATTATATATATATATATATATATATATATATATATATATATATATATATATATATATATCAGTCTCTTCTGTGAGAGATGTATACACACAAACATTGGAAAGAGTAGTGTACATCAATTGTGTTGCCTTCTTTAGTGATGAACTTAAACTAAAACATGTATTGGCAGCTAAAGGCTCATTATAAATATTAAGCTGCCATTTAGTGGTGTAACAACTTCTTATGAGTTACGGTTGTTACACCATCTTTCTACACATGTGTTGTTGCAGTAAAAATCAAAGTCTGTTTACCATATCAAAAAGTAATTTAAAATACATAAAATTTTTCTCCCTTCATTTTATTGTCCTAAAGTAAAAGTAAAATAGCTAAAATAAACAGAAAATTAGTTATTAACTACTGCAATTAAAACCAAAACTTTTTTTTCCTATTTTTATAAAAAAGCAAAAGGAAAATAACAACAAAAAAATAATTTTGAGCGCTTTTTTCTTCAGGTGTTGCTTTTAATAACACTCCAGGCATTACCAACACAGGACTGGATTTGTCCCTTATAATCCTCCCAAAAATCTTAGCAAAAAAAGTTCAAAAGCAGGTTGGTAGCATGACTTGAGGTAAACAAAGTTATAGTATAACAATGATTAGGGCATGAAATGCAGGAGGTGGCTATATGTCTCTAATGTTGATTTTCTCTTTAAAAAACTTTAGGAGCTTTGTGTTAAAAGAGGCCCCAGAAGGTATACTTGGTAGAGCAAACCCATCGGGATGGTCAAATTTAAACTTGTTTCTAGAACTTTTAAAACATTTTGTAAAACATACTCGTTACTTTTCAAGTAATGAAAATCCATTCATTCTTCTAATTGACAGCCATGAGAGCCATCTATTGATACCAATAATCCAGTTGACATAATGTAGTGGCCTTACAATCATAACATTTCATTCTCTCACCAGTCAAAAAACGCAGCCCTTTAACTTCAGGACTTATTACAACATTAAAATGAAAGATTGGATGTTGAAAACAGCTAAATTACGATAGCCTGATTTCAACTCTCAAACTGATTAAGGTTACAACTTATTTTGAAAGATAAAAAGTTCTCGATTCTTACAAGATCAGATTGCTTTCAAAGATCGTTAGTTCCAGCTATCCACTGTAACAGATTGACTGTATCTTTTTTGAAAGAAAGATTTAGCTTTGATTTAGATCTAGATAGAGAACTAAAATGTAGTGGAATTTTCTTACAAAGAATCAACACAGTCAGAAGTCAACATTAATTTTTTTTTTTAACTCTGAGTTTGTATATAAAATTTCATAAACATAAAAAAGTTTAATACAATACCAATAATGTTAAATTTTGCATTGAATTAGCATAATTTCTTTTAACATTTAAATATGCTTTTTAATACATTTTAATTGGAATTACATCTTTAATTTAAATAAACTACATACTGAAAAATGCACATGCATTGGTGTCAGAAGATTTCCTAGATTGAAAAAAACCAACATGTTTTCATAAAAATAATGATTTTGTATTAAAGGGTGACATCCTACTAGTGCATCAATTTTTATGCTAGATAGGTTTTGGACTAGTTCTTTGACTTCAGCAACTTTCATCAATGATTCTTCATTTTCCCAATGTAAGTAAACCACTATAATATCAATGCCACTCTGTAAAAATATTTAAATAAAAGTTTTTTAAATATTTAAATGTGTATGTATGTATGTATGTATGTATGTATGTATGTATGTATGTATGTATGTATGTATGTATGTATGTATGTATGTATGTATGTATGTATATATATATATATATATAAATATATATATATATATATATATATATATATATATATATATATATATATATATATATATATATATATATATATATATATATATATATATATTTAGATTTTGAAAAATCAAAAAACAAAATATCATTGGCAAAAAAGATATTTATTTTTTATTCTTCTTTTTTTGAAAAACTGTCTATGCTGATGTTAAGGTTGTGCAACTTCCACATATTTCTACTTTTTTTTTTTTCAATTTTCACTTATTATTATACACTTATTATTTGCTTTTTTTATATTAATTTTTATCTTAATGTTAGTTCACATGACCATAAAAGCCAATACAGTTGTGGAGGCTACTTTTTTAAATTGTGGATCTGAATTCTAAAACTCCAAAACACAAACCTTGAGGATCAAAGCTGCTGCACAAGTTCATGATCGAACTCAGAATTTCTTTCTTAAAGCGAGCGCTCTACCACTGCACCATTACCGCATACTTATGACCCGCCTAATACTTTTTTAATACTTGTTTATTTTTCCTAATAGTCTTAGCCCCACCCCCTAATATTGTCTGTTAAGCACTTTTTTAAAGATATTTTATATCTGCATCTTGGGAATTAAAAAGTTAGCAATCAATCATTTGTATTTTAACACTCTACATGTACAAACCACATTACCTTTCCTCCTCTGCCTCCTGCTTGCCTCCTCTGCTCCACCTTTTGATCCACTCATATCTTAATATAAAAAAAAATACCAACTCATCTTATTATCTGAATTGATTTGAATCAACCGTCTTTTTTTACTTATAACAAAAAAAAGTCATGTTTTAACTAGTAATGCCTGTCAATTAGTAAGTGACTGGGATTGTCCCAGGCCAGGGCCAGGGTTGGGTTTGATAAGTTATAGCCAGGGCCGGGTTTGTGACCGAGGCTGCATAAACATTTATACATTCTAAAGTATATTTTTTAGTAGAAATTCATGTTGTATTATGGATACATATGCATATATAAACATAATTATGATCAACATGGTCGTCATAATCACCATTAACATTATCGTCACCATCATCATGATCATAATCATCATCTTCATCATTGTCATCATCATCGTCATCATCATCATCATCATCATCATCATCATCATCATCTGGTTTTAGCCTTCCTCTTTTATGCTGTTTCTTTAGTATAAACAATCTAGAGCATTTTCATTTCTTAATATAAGCTCATTCATACAAAATGTAAGGCACTCTTTTCAAGTTTTCTTAGTTCTACTGCTACCATTTTCTCCTGAAGCTGCTACCTCTCTACATCCTAATACCTAAATCATTTTAATCTTTTTTAACAAATGTTGTTCAATGCAACGTTTTTTTCTAATCTGTCTCAGATTATGCTTTTTCTTGTCTTGCTAGAGTCATCCATCTGATCTACACATCTTCTACACATCCATCACACATCCATCTGATCATCTTCTCTTTCAGCAAATACTACACCATATAAATACTAAAGTTTATATAAATTTGAAAGAATACTGTATACCAGCATCTAAATAAATACCAAACATATATATTTATATCCATAATATGTATGCATAAAGCGCATCTTGGAAGCTTTTATTCCTATAAATAAGCCAGAGTTATTTGCAAAGAAATCTTACTCTAATTTGAATATTGAATCTAATGGCCATACTCTTCCTGCCAATTAAACAGATTAACCCATTGTTAAACATTAGTGCTAAATAAGTGGTTCCAATTTTTTAAAACTATAAAACACTTTGACCTCTCTAACTATCCTACCATTAGTCTTCACTCTGTTATTAGTTTTTTTATATAAAGGTTTTAAGATTATTAAATTTTGTTTTAACTGCAGTATTAAAGTTATTCTTGCCTACACTCTTCTTTATTTCAAGTAACTTTAAGGGTACTTGTGGTACCCTTAAAGTTAATAAAGAAGAACCTTCAAAGGTTCTTGTGGTACCTCTTAAGTTACCCTCGATCTTTGCTCCTGTATTGTTTCTCATCTACAATAACAATCTTCATCAAAATTTTAAATCTAAAGCGACTCTATTTGCTGATGACTCAAACTTTTGATTTCTTAGAACAAGCAGCAGATATTTAATCTGATCTCTCTTCTGTAACAGCCTAAGGCGTGAGGGTTAAGGCAGTGGGTTATGGATTAAAGTTCTGGACTCCACAATTTTCTGAAATTTCACAATTTTTCTGAAATTTCACAATTTTTCTGAAATCCACAATTTTTGTTAGACAACAAAAGTTATTGATTTATTGCAAAAAAATATTGCAATATTGTTGGCGTTCTTATATTGGTGAATAGCAACCCTCTTATTCACAGACAAAGTCTAAAACCACAATGTAAATGTAATTAGGCCTGCTTTATCTGCCAAGCTCGAGCCACTCTCCCATTGTTGTAAGGTTGCATTTGTTTTTTGTTTTTTTCTACAAAATCATGGTCAATGCTTAAATGAACTATCGTCTCTATTATGATAAGTCAAAACTCATTCTTGCTTGTTTTTTATTCAACAATTTGCATCCTTTCACTGTATCTGGCCCTTAATGCTATAAAAACTTTTATTAATCCAGTTTTTTTCCTTGCACATCTAAAAAACCTTATAACTCTTACCCATCTTCATGTTTTCCTTTTTTATACTACCTACAACTTGTTAAGTCTTCAGTTAACTATTTCCTAGTATTTTAATTACTCTATTTGAAAGTAACTCATAACTTAACAGTGGTTGCTTGCAATCTTATTGGAGTTTAAAAATATATAAGTATATGCCAGTTCTTAATAAATAGTAAATGTAAGTATAAAGTTATTATATTTAAAGGTTATAAATTATTTCATAGCCCCGGTTATCAACCCCTGCTAAATCTTATAATTTTGTTGGGTCCAGGACCAAGGCCAGGTTTGCAAAAAATTTCATTTTTAGCCGGGGACGGAGCCCCGGTCACCTTCTACTGTCAATTTAATTATTTAACTAAGATCTAAGTCAGGTTTGATAAAATTGTCATATTTAGCTGGAGTCCAGGTTAGTTGCTTAGGGAAAAGAGCATTGTAAACCTTGTATTACTATTATCTAAATGTTGTTTTTTGTGTCATTATACCCCTCCTCCATCTGTTAGAATTAAGCCCCCATTAAAATTGTCAGTCACATTTTGTGCACACTTTAGTGAGCAGTTATTAATTTATTAAAAACTTATTAGTATTACATGTGTGTATGTATGTATGTATGTATGTATGTATGTATGTATGTATGTATGTATGTATGTATGTATGTATGTATGTGTCTTCTTCATTTAGCTAGCACTTTTGCGCTTAAGCCTTTTCGTGCTTCCCACACACCTGCAAAAACTTTAGGCAAGTCATAAAAAGGGCTTGCTAAAAAAGTTTTTTTTTTTAAATTGCAATGAAGCTGTTTTTATTTTAAATATTTTGTTTAATATTTTTATAAAACGTTTATTATTTCTTATTTTTTGCAGTTTTTTTTTTTTTTTTTTTTTGCTTAGAATTTTAATAAAATGTTTTAATAAATGCTCTGCCTTTATTTTCTTATTATTTTATCTAGTTTTTATTCAAAACATTTTTTTTTTGCTCTTTTTATTGTAAATTAAAAAGTGCTGGCATTAAATTTTAAATGGAGAAGACTGATATGTATGTATTTATGTATGTATGTATGTATGTATGTATGTATGTATGTATGTATGTATGTATGTATGTATGTATGTATGTATGTGTTTGTATGTATATATATGTATGTATGTATACATATATATGTATAAGAATATTTTATTAAAAGTGTATATGTTTATTCATAAATTTATCTTTTTACTTCTCTCAGTTCAGTTACTTCATTTTTTATTAGTTCTTCATTAAAAGCAGCTGGTTTAATTCCAGTTTCATTTTCATTTTTCAAGCAACCATCATTAGAAATACAATAAGACAAAATTCCTATTGTTATACCATTATTTGCAAAAACCACTGGTTCCTAAAGTAACAGACAAAATTGATTAGGCTTAATATCAATGTTAATGTAGTTAATGCTTAGTAAGTTTATCTAATTATTGATTTGATTTTGTCTCTACAATGAGTTTATTAATTCAATAAAAAATCAATTTAAAAAATGAAATATATCATATAGTTGTTTTACAGTCATAATGTATTATAAACAAATTGAATTTTCTTGTCTTGTTTTATTTTCTTTATGTTTACCTGTTGTTTGTTGTTTTCTGTTAACCCTGATACCAAAAGATTATTTTTAGTTAAAATGTCATTGGTGGTAGTTACAGCATTAAGTCCATTTTCTAGGATATATGCATTTGCTAGAACAACTGTTTCAATACCAGCATATCTTAAACATTGAGTTTCTGTTTAGTTAGATTGTTAAGTTATCAAAAATGTAATATTAATATTTATTCAGTTATAATTTTTACCTAATATTTACTTACAGTAGAGCTTGAACAGCTTCTTGATCTGTTATTGAGGCATTATTGTCATCCATGTTGTTTTCACTGGATCCAATTGATGATTCTAAGTTTATTATAACATGATCAGCTGGATCAAAAAACTTTTTTATTTCATTGAATGACTCATTAAATGTGCAAATTTCTTCTTCAACTTTATACCTTATAATTCCATCTAGTCCTATACTTCCTCCGACTATGAGCTTCACGGTTTTCAGTTGTTTTTTAGATGTTTTTTTTGTGTTTATTTTATCAGCAAGGTTCTTCTCTTTTAAAGTTACTTTCTTTGTTTTTTTTTTTTGTATTTCATTTAGTTTAGTCTTACTAGATGACTCGTTAAATTCAGAAGTTTTTTGTGTTTCAGCATGAATTTTCTCTGGGTGTTTTTTAACTTTGAATTTCTTAGTATTTTTCTAGAAATTTATATATATATATATATATATATATATATATATATATATATATATATATATATATATATATATATATATATATATATATATATATATATATATATATATATATATATATATATATATACAAAATAGAAAATGTATTATTATGGTATAATAATAATGCAAATACTTTTGTGCGTTTAAGAGTGCTCAATACTATTAAATAATAGAGCAATATTTATTTATATATATTAAATGAATAAAAACAACTTTTGATGGAACTCTGAGTTTCATGCCTTTCGGCAATCATCAGCCATTGTGTATTTCGTCACTTAAAAACCGTTTAAAAATTACAAATTAAAATTATGGTGGAACGAGTTCTGACGTTACCAAACAAAACAAAACAAAACAAAAAGACGTCAAAGGTTTTAGTCCCCGGTATCATATATATATATATATATATATATATATATATATATATATATATATATATATATATATATATATATATATATATATATATATATATATATATATATATATATATATATATATAAAACCCTCGGAATTAGGGTTGGCATTCGGCAATGCTGACCTAACTGTCAATCTGAAAGTGTTTGAGGTCAGCAAAAAATTGCCGTTCTCATTACTATATATATATACATATATATATATATATTTATATATATATATATATATATATATATATATATATATATATATATATATATATATATATATATATATATATATAAAACCCTCGGAATTAGGGTTGGCATTCGGCAATGCTGACCTAACTGTCAATCTGAAAGTGTTTGAGGTCAGCAAAAAATTGCCGTTCTCATTACTATATATATATACATATATATACATATATATATATATATATATATATATATATATATATATATATATATATATATATATATATATATATATATATATATATATATATATATATATATATATATATATATATATATATATATATATATATATATATATATATATATATATATATATTAGGGTGTCTCAAATAAAACATTTTAAAGAAATCTATGCTGCCACCCTCTTAATGTGTTCTATATAATAAAATAATACTAAATTTAAAAATTTTTTTGAATTAAAAATATTTTTATGGGTCCCCCAAGACCTTTGAGCATTTAATGGGTCCCTAATATTATTAAGTATGTCTTGTTGTGTCTCAAAAGAAGCGAAATTATTTAAAAACTTTAAAAATAATCATCATTTCATGAAAATATTATTATTTAAAATTTTAGTAAACAAAAAATGACTTTTTTTTTTAACTAAAAACAAAAAATAAGGAATTTAACAAAATTTTTTGATTATAATTTTTATAGCTGTTTTTTATAAATATAAAATAATGATTAATTTTAAAATTTTTTTATAATTTCGCTTCTTGTGACACACAACATGATATACTTTGAAGGACTATTTTTTTGATAATTACAGGGACCTGTCTGATGTTCAAGGTTCTTGGGGGACCCATAAAAATAATTTTTATTCAAAAAAATGTTTATGTTTTAAAGTTATAGATTTAAGAGAAAATTAGTACCCTCTTTGACTTTTGAGATAAAAGAAGGTGAAAACTATTTTTGTTGTTATTTTCTTGTTTATTTGTTAGCCCCCTCAGCTTTAGGGACCAACTTCAGTAATATATACCCTTGGATATATTAGAGATTTTTTTAGTTTATTTGAGATTGTTTACTAAATGTTTAACTTGTTTTTCTTGAAATAGACTTGTTTGCTAAAGTTTTTATTTAGTTTAGATAAAATTGGTTTAAAATCTGTTTTTTTTTTTTTTTGTTATTTTTGTTTATTTAGGTTTTTAAATTTGAATTACATAAGAATTTTTTGACAACTATTTTTAATTTTTGTGTTATAAAATATTTATATATTTCCATTTTCAAGTTTTTAAACAGGAAAGTTCATTGTACGAATGGTTAGTAATTTAATTGGGGAAAAAGTCATTTTTAAACAAATTTTGTTTTGAATTTAGGAAATTTTACATTATAATTAAATTATGTTACCTCTGTTACAACTTCTTGCTGGAATTCAGCTATTTGATTTGTTAACTTGGCAACCTCTGATGCAACGTCAAGTGATACTGAAAATTATTCATGAACATAAAGATAAATCTATAAGTATTAAATATACTGAGTACTTCAAATGTACTAATTTTTCTAAATAACTATAGTAATTATGAGTATTTAATGGATAAATATTTTTTTAGTTTTAATTTGAAGTTTTTCACATAAAATGTAAGTTACCTAATAAAAATTCAAAATCATTACTTATAAAATTTGTTAGATATCTGTCAAGAGATCACATGTTATCTGTCAAAAAAACATGCTTTTTGTTAAGTGAATTAACAAAAATCATACTTTTGCATAATGAAATGTATATATAAAGATAATGGCTAAAAAGATTAACAGATATTATTGAGAAGATAAGGAAAAAAATTGACATATATTGCTGGTTACGTGTCACAAAAATCCATTTGAACTCGAAATAATTGAACTCAAAGAAATTCAAAAAGGTTGTACTCAAAGAAATTTTGTACTTAAAATTACTTTTATTTTGATTGTCTTCAAGCAAAATATTTTGATTGTATTCCGATTTTGTGTTTGTATCCTGGAGCTGTGTTTCATCAAAATCTTTTAAGTGCGTATCATCCAGGTGAGGCGTTTCTAAATCTTGTAGTGGTGGTGGTTCGGAATTTTCTTGATGAAAACTTTCTATGTTGTTTAGATTGTCATTAAGTTTTTTGGTTTCGTTTTTTTTTTTTACATGTTTTTTTGTATCTACCAAGAAAGTCTGATCTGAATTCAGTGCTGATGGTCCCATAATACGGTTTTGATTTTTTTTACGAAATTTTATTTTATCTGTCTTGGTCTCTGCTATTTTATTTACCTTTAAAGTCACTTCATTTAACCATGGAAGCACTTTTTTATCTAACTCAGTTAGCAGTTGAATGTTTTTTACATGGTTGAGCTTATCTTTGTGTTTGAATGGCATTTTTAATTCTTGTTTTGTGAGGCCAGCAGATAAAGTTATTTCTTTTATATATGGGAGCACATTTCTATAAAGACTCTCCTCCTTATCTTCATCTTGCTTAAGATTTTTCTTTGCATATACATTTTGAGCACCCCAAGTTACTGTGCACACAATTTGTAAGGCTAAAAATTAGTTTGAGTTTAATTTTTATATGCTTAATTTTAATTTAAACTTATATAACAATATACTAATAAAAATCATACTTAAAATATAGTTTAACTTCTTCATTGTATTCTAAAACACCATTGGCTTTATTTAAGTTCTTTAAGCCATAATCATGTCTTAAAATTTTATGTACTCTAGGATTGCTTTTAAACATTTTCAAACACTTAGTAGCTGCAGGAGGTGAATGTTTTATTATACATAGGCTCAACATGATTTTATTTTTTAAGAATTCTGTATAGTTTTCTGTATGATTTCTGTTTTAATTTTTTTTAATTTTGTTTTTGTACACACTTTTGCATCTCTTATAAATACTTAAAGTTATCTCTTCTATACATACTAAGTGTAATAACTTTTATACTTAATAAAGCATTTTATAGTAAATGATTTTATATATATATATATATATATATATATATATATATATATATATATATATATATATATATATATATATATATATATATATATATATATATATATATATGTATATGTATATGTATATATATATATATATATATATATATATATATATATATATATATATATATATATATATATGTATATATATATATATATATATATATATATATATATATATATATATATATATATATATATATAATTTGCTTTATTTTATTTAATTATATGTAAATTTATTATTGCATTTATTATATATGTTCTTTTGAGCACTATATTGTAGAATAAATTTAAAATTATTTTTTTTGTGTGTGTGTATGTATATATATATATATATATATATATATATATATATATATATATATATATATATATATATATATATATATATATATATATATATTAGGGTGTCCCAAAAAACAACATTTTTGAAAATAATCTGCTGTCACCCCCTAAATGTGTTCTATCTAATGCAAAAACACTAGGTTTAAATTTTTTTTGAATAAAAAATATTCTAAGGGGTCCCTTAAGACCCTCAAATATTTAATGGGTCCCTAATATTTTCGAATAAAAAGTTTTTCAAAAATATGTCAACCTGGTACTCAAATGAGGTGAAATTATATAAAAATTTAAAAAATTATATTCATTCTAAAACAAAATTGTTATTTTTGGTTTAATTACATAAAAAATTACGTTTTTTAAGAAAAAATGAAAAAAAATGCATTTTTAATGTTTTTTTATGATAATTTTGATAAATAAGTCAAAAATATTTTGGAATGAATATTATTTTTGAAATATTTATATAATTTCGCTTCATTTGAGTACCAGGTTGACATATTTTTGAAAAACTTTTTTTTTCGAAAATATTAGGGACCCATTAAATATTCGAGGGTCTTGAGGGACCCCTTAAGATATTTTTTATTCAAAAAAAATTTAAACCTAGTGTTTTTGTATTAGATAGAACACATTTAGGGGGTGAGAGCAGATTATTTTTAAAAATATGGTTTTTTGGGACACTTTAATATATATATATATATATATATATATATATATATATATATATATATATATATATATATATATATATATATATATATATATATATATATATATATATATATATATATAAATTATTGAGTATATGTTTATATATACAAAAACAATTGTAAAATATTAAAAATGATAAAATGTAGAAAAATAATTTTGTATACTTGAGTTCTTGTGTTAAAAATTAGACTAATTAAAAAAAGATTAACATGAAATATAATGTAGAGTTTACTAACCATTAAGTTACAATCAAAATACGAGATTTTTTTTAATTATAGTTTTCAAGATGTCCGGGTTTTTTACCTGTTATATTACAGATGGTCATGTCATCAGATATTCATATTTCAATCAGACAAGCTGGTGAGTCATAGAAAAAATATTTTGTTATATTTACCATACTTATTTTAATTTTATGAATCATTTTATCTTTTTCAAATTTCTTTTAAGTTTAAAAATAGAAGATAAAAAACAACAAACAAATTAACATGGTTACATAACACTTCTGATAATAGTTACTATTTTTATTTATTGAAAATTAAAATTTTATAAAGTTTTAAATTTATAAATAATTTAATATAAATAATTAAATTTATAAATATAATCTTAAAGTAAAATATAAATATTAAAATTCTTATACTGGCTTAAAAAGATTAAATGTTGGTTAATTACCCACCAATTGTTATCAATCATTAATGCAATCTTCGACATTACATATAAATAAATATAAACATCAATTGATTAATTTAGTAAGTTCTTATAAATGCTATTTAGCCACAGAATTTCATTTGTACCAAAATGCTATAAACTAGACAAGGATTTTGTTCAACAAAACAACAAAGATTTGACAATTTGAAAAAAGAAGGTTGGAAAAGCATTTAATATAAACCAAATCAAGTCATAAGTGGTAGCTTTAAATACATTTAGTGCTAAGAAGAGGTGGTCAAAATTATTGTTGCCGTTTATTAACAGCAAATTTAAATTTTTATTTGTAGAATTAAGTGTTTCTTGTTTTGAAATAGTTGTAACTAGAAGTAAAAGTATTTTACTAAAAAAAAATTTTGTTATTTTTATTTTCAAGTTTCCTAGTAAAATATTTAACTGTATCACATGTAAAAATGTGTACATACAATTTATTTACCACATCTAATAATTACATATAATCCGTATGCTACAGTTAATCTGGTGCAGAACCTAAGTCTGCACTGCACTGCAAGGTGCACTGCACCTTGGTTTATATCAGAATAAGTAAAAAAAAAATTACACAACAAACTATTGTTATACAAGTTAAACCTCTCATGTTAAATATTTATCAATAAATTATAGTTTTGAAATAAAATTTTAAAAATATTTCAAATGATGATATTTAAAACAAGTTCATTTTTCTCTAATCAAATGGTGATAATCAACTTTTATAAAACTTTGAGGGTCAAATTCACTGGTTCTTTGTAATTAATTTATCATTTCACTAACTATTTATCATAAGTTCATACATTTTATTTAATGTTTCTGTAAATTTCTAAACATGAAGAAATATTTAAATTTACCTAATTTTATTAACAATAATTATCATAATTTTTTACTTTACTAGCTGTAATATACTTAAAGAATATGACTGGAAAATTCTGGAGAGATCGTGACATTAATCAAATTCATGGGGAACAATTGTTTGTTATACCTGATGCAGATAAATCTTTTATTCGTGATAAAATTGTTGAGTCTGTTATTGAAGCATCAGAATTAATTCGGTTTGTTTTTATTTGGTTATTCATATAATTTTATTATTATCATTTTTTTTCCATAGTTTTTTTGTTTACTATCTAAGTTTAATGTCCTTAGACATTTTATTTTATTTTTGTTTTTCTATGAATTTAATTTGTTTTTTTATGATTATGACAGGTTTAAGTTCAATTCTCAAGTTCATTTTTTTGTAGAATTCAACTCACAGTTAGTGTTTATGAGATTCTCTCTTGTGATTTCCCTGAGAAATGGCCAGATATTTGCCACAAGTTAAACACCTACTTGACATCTGACATTAGATCAACATGGCTGGGCGCTTTACTTGTGTTATATCAAATTGTTAAGAAATACGAGTAATTTTTTTTTAATAAATTTAAATCATCTTAAAAAAATTTAATATTTTTGTACTAATTTGTGCTTTATAAGTATTTTATTTTCTATATTACTCGTTATTTTTATTATTTTTTATTTTATTATCTGTTATATATATTGTTGTTTGTCTGTATTATTATTTGGTTTTATGTGGTAGACTTTCAGATAATTATTTTAAACAAATAGTGTTGCTTATTTAGAGTTTGTGGAGGGAATGTTTAACAGTCTTAAGTTATATGAGAGCCAGAGTGTAGCCATGTAAAATAAATCATGGCTGAACAAGATTAAAATAATTTAATTCAAAACATTCAAAGGAATGTGAGTACAAAATGTGTGGTTTTAAAACACACACCCAAGATGGGTGTGTTTTAAATCTAAGTTACAAAGTAGCGAGACATTTGTTAGATAACACTTGATTACATTTAAACAGGGTGATCATGATGATCTTGATCCTGACCTGTAATATTTAGTTTTATATTATTGATTATATTTATAATTGGTTAATTAATTGGCATCAGCCTATTTTTAAACATTAGTTTTGGCATTGGCCTATAATCTGCAATCAGTACATCACAGGGTCTAAACCACTATTTGCTATTTAACAGTTTATGAAAGTCTTAAAAATATTACTTTCATTCAGTAATCATCTGCTCACATCAGTAGCACTATCATCTATTTCGGTTGTTTGATTGCACAGATGCAAACAGTGTTTCAAAATTTATTTGTTAAATTAAGCTTTATATAAAAATGATGAATCAACAAAAGAGGCAAAAAAAAAAAGTAACTAGAATGAAAATGAAGTTAATTATTGGATGGACACGGAAAAATCCGGTCAACTTTAAATTGAGATTTCTCTAAAACCATAAATGCTTTTTATTTCAATTTTTTTATTATTAAATGTGTTTACATAAATTAGAGTTTCAACTTAATTTTAAGGGGCTTGATGGTTTGCTTGGCAAGAAATCGAACTTTATAGCGGGTTGATGCCATCATTTAACTGATTTTTTCTTTTTTCACCATATTGGTGGCATTAATCCACTTTTTTTGGAAGTCCTTTTTATTATTTGTTAGTCCACCTGTCTTACGAAGAACTCCTTTAACTATTGCCCAAAACTCTTCAATCTTGCGCTCTTCAGGACGATTTAGAGGATTCGCATCTTTAGGAACAATTTTCACATTATTATCTTTGCACCACTGTAAAACTTTTTTAGAATAGTAAAAGGCAGCAAGATCGGGCCAAAAGAGAAATCGGTATTTGTGTTTTTTTATAAAAGGCAAAAGTCTTTTTTGGAGGCATTCTTTGATGTAGAGATTGGCAGTCAAGGTCTTTTTAGTGACAAAACAAGAGGACTGCATACCACAGCTACAAATTGCGTGCCACACAAGGAACTTGGATGCAAATTTTTCTTGTCAAATATATTTAAATTGATCATCGACAGGTTTATCTTTGTTTTCATAGTAAAACTGTTGACTAGGAAGTTGTGAAAAATCCCCCTTGCAATACGTTTCGTTGTCTTCAATTATGCACATATTTTTACCCGCCATTATTTTAACCAACTTCTTTGTGCGTCGAATTCCTTTAATTTCATAATTTAAGCTTCTCTTAGGTGTATTTTTTTTAATGAAATTCCAGCATTTTTAAGTACTTTTTTGATATAAGTATGAGAAGTCTTAAATTTTCTTGCTAGATCTCGCTGTGACTGATTTGGATTTCTTGCTATTGAATGTAAAATCGACTTTACCTTTTTGGATTTATGGAAACTTTTTTTTCTTCCACTTCCAAGTTTTCTTTCGAAGCTTAGAGTAGTCTTGAACTTGTTTATAATATCTATGACTGTAGATTTTGGGACATTAGTGCGTTTAGCAATCAAGCGATAGAAAGTCGATGGATTTTTGCAAAAAAAATTCACAACTTTTTTACGCACCTCAACTTGTTTCCGAAACATTTTGCCAATCATTAATTTGTAAACAAAAATTTATCAACACCATTTAAGATAAGGAATTAAGGTTTAATTAAAAAAAATAAATAAATAAAAATCATTTGTGGTTTTGGAGAAATCTCAATTCAAAGATGACCGGATTTTCCCGTGTCCACCCGATAAATGTAGTTATACTATGTATTTTTTAATATTGGTTATCTTCTCTAATGTTGGTTGTTTGTATTATGTTTGATTAATAAAGCTTGTAAATATAGTTTGTTGATTTTTGCTGAAATTGAAGAAAATACCAGAGAAAGTATTTTAATCAATATATAAATCTGCTAATGCAGATTTACTTTGTGTTAGTCTGTGCGATAACGATAAAGGCTTGAGTGATTTGAAGTAAAATAAGCAATTCCAACCTGCAACCAAATTGCAAAAAAAAAAGTGATGAGTAGGTTAGTCATACACTTAAAGAGAGTATACGCTAATTATAAAAGTCAACTTCTGAAAACAAATTCTGTCTTAACTCAAAAATTATATCTACAGAAATGTTGTTTAAAATGTAGTGAAACATTAACTGTTGCTCTTGTTTCAGTTTAGTTTTAAATAAATTTTATAATTTTGTAGAGGTTTTCAAAAAGGTGAATCTTTACTAAAAGCTAAATGAAACTCCCTCCCTTGATTTGTACAATTGTATTATTTGAAATGATGGGTTCACTCTAGACACCCAAACTTGAAAACCTGTTAGAACAGCTGATCTTTATCTGATCATCGCATTTGATGGTATCATCAAATGTTAGATGCATATTTGTAACTTTTTTGATTATCTTTAATGGCTTACTTTATTTTATTTTGTTTACTTATACTTTTTTATTGTGATTGTGCAATAATAAATTTACTTCAAAGAATGCTGACATCTCTAAAAGATAATTACTTTCAGTGTTATCTGTCTACTTTCATTTATTTGTGTTAAAAACTCTTGTGCGCTGCAGTCATAACTTAACTTTAGTATTAAACTTTTTCATTTTTATTAAATTTATTTAGTTAAAGTTCTAACATTCAAAAACATTTTGAGTAAAAACTCGAAAGTTACTTTTTATACATTTGTTATGCTATCATAATTCTTTAAATATATGATTTTATTTATGTGATCATAATGTGTGTATGTGTGCGTGTCAATGTATATACCCCTGTTCTTTAGATACAAAAAGCAAGAAGATAGAGGACCTATAGACAGTGTCATGGAGGTTTTCCTACCTATACTTCATAGTAGGTGCACATCATTGGTTAAGGAAGATACAGCTGATTCTTATCTTTTGCTAACTATTGTGTTCAAAATTTTTCGCTCTCTTATACAGGTACATTTAAAAAAATCAAATTTGTAAAGGTTATTTTTTAGTACATTTAATTTTAATTTTTGTTTTTTTTATTTTTATTTGTTTTTGTTTTTATTTTTTTCATGACTTTTTAATTTAGCTTGACTTTTATTTAAATTAGTAAACTATTTACTGTTTTAAAAATTTCAAATTCTAGCATGTTTTGTTTTTTTTATGTTTGTGTTTATTAGCAAGGTGTTCTGTGATTAATTTACATTTAAAAGTTAGTTGGTTTTCTAGATATGATATACTATATATATTCAAGTCTTATTTATTTAAGAAATACTTTTTTTGTGTGTTTTATGAGAATTTCAAAATGCTCTCAATGCATTTGAAGTAGGTTTATCATCTTTTTGACAAGATAATTGACAAGAATAACCTACTATAGTGATTTGTTATCACATTAAGTTCATTGGTAATTTTTTCTAAATATTGTGTAAAAAAAAACTTTAAAGCACAAAGATAAGATAAAAAGCACAAAGATAAGATAAAAAACAGTGCAATTAAAAGCTTTTATTAATGCAGTATTTACTAAATAATATTTGTTAAGTTAATTAATAATAAGTATATTTTGATCATTCAACTATTTATCATAAATTCATTATAAATTTATCTACTAGTTTGCAATTATAACTTAAAATATTATAAATAAAAATAGATCATACTACACTATGCTACTAAATACATTACTAGGATCATTATTCATTCAAAAAGCATAAGGTGATATAAAACAAACAAAAAAGTTTAAACATCTTGAATATTTTTTTGTTATTACAACAGCATATTAAAGGCATTAATATTTTGTAAAACCACCTTTATTTGCAATAGCTGCATCAGTGCATTGTGGCACAATTGCAATTGATTTTTTTTTAAAGTTTCTGTCAACTCTGGATTATTGTGACAGATATTGATAATTTTTTCCATAAGATCTTACTTTAATTAAATAAACAAACAATATCTAAGCTAGTAAATATCTAAGCTAGTAAAGCAAGAAATAGGATAAAAAATTATTTTGAATAGTTAAAATAATTTCTTATCTTATTTCTCGCTTTACTAGCTTTTAAATGTTTTTGATGGTGTTACTATCAAAGCCATGGCAATATATTAGTATTGTTTTTGCTTTTAATTTAAAACTTTTTGCTATGTGGCAAGTTGCACCATCTTGTTTAAATAAAATTGTACTGTATAATCTCTTTAATTCAAATCTCTGTAATTCAAAAACCTCCATAATTCCATTGAATGCAAAGTCACTGTGAAATGCGCTTAAGAAACTTTTAGGTTTAACTTTCTATTACTTGAATCTCTATAATTCAAAAACCTCCACAGTTCGAATGGGTTTATTAGACCCGTCTGTAAGATTCTCTCTGTAAATTGACTTAACTGAATTAACTTTTGACTTGTAAAAAGTTCATTAAACCATCAAAATATTTTTCAAATTTTCTATGTTGAGAGTTTTTAAAAAATGATTAGTGTAAACTATCTTCTACTGTTTAAAAAAAATCATGGCATCAAAGAGACATAAAGAAAACAATATAAATCCGAAATAGAAAATCTAATGGAATTAGAGAAAGGAGGAACAAATAAAGAGGTTTCAAAAATTTTTGATATTCTACCAAACACTCTTTCAACCTGGAAAAAGAATAAAGATAAAATCTTTGGCGCTTTTTGTCAAGGAAATTTGACTAAGCGAGTGAAAATTGATTTGTATTATCTAGTAAACAAAGCTGCACTTGAATGATTTAGTCGAATGAGAGCTGATAATGTATAAATTAGTGGCTTGTTGATAAAATCTTTATGTTTTGCAATAGAGTTATCCTTCAAAAATTTTCAAGCTTTGGAAGGATGGCTAGACTAATTTGAGAAAAAGCAAACTAATGTGGAGATATTTTGACAATGGCTCTTAAAGATATAAATTGTGTTTTTGCACTTATAATCTAGAACTTTTTTTAATTTAAAAGTTTAAAACACATAAGATATATTGCTTTTAGGCCTAAGAATTACTATTTGTTTGTTTTTTTTTATTTCTATTTGTTTCTTTGAAAAGAATATTTGAAAAAAAGTCAACTTTCTATAATTCAAAAATCTCTCTATTTCGAAATTTTTTCCCATAAAATTCGAATTATAGAGATGGTACTGTATAAATATATTTCTTGTAAAAATATATTTCTTTGTATTTTTTGACTAATCTCTTTAGGATAACAACTGATCAGTTTTTCAGTACTTCTTTATACTGTTCAGTCTCATTGTCCAAACCACTTTGTTTTGTTGTCCTGCTCAATTGGCAGACCAGATCATCACTGAGGGTGGATACTTGATTGATTCCACTATGCAACTAGAATAAAATTTTTTGTTTAAGACAAAAACTTTCCATCATTACTTAAAAGATTGACTCGTCTAATAAGCAATCTAAAAAGCAATGCTTATTTAAAGTGACTGGGATACATTTTGTCAGGTCATATTTTCTTGCTACTGGTTTAATGTAACCCAGTACAACTTTAAAGTTCAGCTTCATGTCCTGCACCTTGCACTTTTTAGGTTAAAGCTAGGTGAAGCCAACTCTGGCTTAACACACCCCGTCATCACCATGTTCTCTAAAACTATCATTCACTAATATTCATGGTCTTCGAAGTAACTTTTTTTTTGATGAGTGTTTTCTCTTGCAAAGTTCGCCAGACCTACTTTTCTGAAGAGCTCTTTATGAGACTAATTTGAATTCAGCTGTTTCATTTTGCCATTTTTGTGTTGATGGTAATCTTCCTTTAATTGGTAAAGGTTCCAATAGTCACATGCTTGGCTCAGGCTTTTATATTCGTTAGAATTCACCCATTTCTCAGGAAACTAGGTTTGAATCCACTGACTATTCATTTGCTTTTATACCATTACTTCCATATCTTTTTCCAAAACAGTTATATAGAAAACAGAAGTCTGTTTGCTATTGCTAGAAACCATAGTGAAAAGGTTTTGTTCAAAGCCAAAGCCTGTTATTCTCAGGTCACAAAATCTCATATTTCATCTCAAATATTAGACTCTAGAGCTTTCTGGAGATCTTTAACATTGTTTTTGTTATTCCTCCGCTTTTGCATGGATCGAATTTTGTTACCTCACTTTGCTAAGAATTTTTTGCTAAGAATTTTTCATCAATCTAATCTCTTAATTCTACTAATCGCAACCTACCTGATATAGCTGACTAACTATATCAGCTTAGAAAATTTTCTCTTCCAGTAACATTCAATTCTAATAGTGTTTGCTTGCAGCCTTGTAGGAAGTCAAGATGTTTAAAAAAAAAACTTTAAAATAAATTATGAATAAGATTGTGAATAAGAATGTTTTCAAAAATTACCTTTTCCTTATCTTCAACAGATCAATAACATTGATTTTGAGCGCTCACTCTAATCTTTTTTTTTTTTTTTATCATGTTAGAAGTTAGTTTTGGTTTCTTGGTTGGATGATGACACATCAATCTGTCTTCTTTCAGCCTCCTGCAAAATTACCCATCTAATACAACAACACCAGTTTCATGGATAATTTTAGTCAATATTATTAGGGGCTTTTTTCTGTTCTCCAAGCAAATATTCTGATACTGTCTGCTTTTGGTGTTCTTTTATGGTGAGAAGTTCATCTTCTTGGACCAAACTCTTCTTCAGCATCAATTCTTTTTTTACTTGAGTAACAATTTGGTGAGAATACTTTACAATTTGTGGAATTTAATGTTGAGAATTGTCTATTCTGTAAATCAGATTTTTATTAAACCAATTAAAAACACATTTCTTAAAATAACACATTTCTTCTCCATTGCTGAAAATTTAAAACTTCAAATAATGGGTAGAAGTTGGTATCTTTACATAAATATTAAAAAGAAACATAAATCTTTTATGTAAAAGCAATCTCTTATTAATTATTCTAGAATTCACAAAAAAATTAATGAAATGAAACAATTTGAATTAAATTAAATTAAATTAATTTAAATTAAACTTTAATCTGTTAATTACTAACAAATAAAAATAACCTCAAATTGTTGAAAATGCATCAGATTGACAGGTGCTAGGTTGTATTTAGAATTGCTAATTGATTAAAGCTTAAGATTATATAGATAGATTAAAGTTTAAGATTAAAGTGCCAAAAATAGAATTAACTTGACATGTAACAAAACATATTTATCTTATCATGTGCAAGTTAATTCCATTTATTTGATATAAATTGTCAAAAATATGTGTGATTCTATTGTGATAGACAATGAAAATATGTGTGATTCTATTGTGATAGACAATGAAAATATGTGTGATTCTATTGTGATAGACAATGAAAATATGTGTGATTCTATTGTGATAGACAATGAAAATATGTGTGATTCTATTGTGATAGACAATGAAAATATGTGTGATTCTATTGTGATAGACAATGAAAATATGTGTGATTCTATTGTGATAGACAATGAAAATATGTGGGATTCTATTGTGATAGACAATGAAAATATGTGTGATTCTATTGTGATAGACAATGAAAATATGTGTGATTCTATTGTGATAGACAATGAAAATATGTGGGATTCTATTGTGATAGACAATGAAAATATGTGTGATTCTATTGTGATAGACAATGAAAATATGTGTGATTCTATTGTGATAGACAATTATTGTATAATTATAATTCTCATGATTTTTATTTGATTTTTTTAAATTTTTATTTCTGTTAAATTTTTTCACAATAATCTGCATTAAATTACACTAGTTACACTATTATGAAAATATTATTTGTTTTTGGAAAACAAGTAATAACATGGAAAACAAAATTATTGAAACAGTATGTAATGAAAATACACATTGAATTGACATGACATGGATACTATATATACATGATACTATATATACATGATAGCATGACCCTATATATACATATATAGGTTACTATATATTCATGATAGCTACTGGAATGTTTTTCTTTTTTTGATTGGACTTAGTGTCTCAAGGTCTTGTGCTGTTTAATTTTTTGTTCTTTTGTTTGTGATATTGATATTTAAATTTCAATTTAATTTTTTAGTTTAAGCCTATAATGTTTTCAGTTAAAAAAAATAACAAAACTATCTTTAAACAACAGTCAAACCAACTTAAATAGATAATTTATATCTGCACAAAATAAAATCTTTCAAAACAAAACAAGTATTAGAAAGAAAATAAAAAATTTGTAACACCTTTATGTTCTTCTAAGCATAAAACATATTAAAACTTAAAAAAAAAAAATCTTAAAGTTGGTGATTATAACTTTTATGAATAAAATTGTTTAAAAATGTTTTTATAATTACAGCATAAGATGGCCCTTGTTAAATTTTAAATTTAACTTGTTAAATTCATATAAAAATATAGACACTGGTAAATGTATATCTTGTAAAAGTAATATTTATAATGACAATGAAGAGCTGAATCAGGCTCTTCTGTGTAAACGTAAGCTGCCAACAGCTGGTTAAGATATTAGCACTCAACAGTTATTGTTAAAAATACGTATTAATAATTGTTTTAAACATCATGTCTTTAATATTAATATGTTATTGTTGTTTCCTAATAATTAAATTTTCTTAATATGCATATACATAAGTGTAATGCATACCTTTTTGTTTTAAAACAATTTTATCAGTTATGGCTATTAAATAATAAATAAAAATAGTTTATATAATAAATGAATGTTTTTTTTTTTAGTTACATTTACCTTTGAATTTGATAAATCAAAATAATTTTCCCCAGTGGATGGGTCTATTCAAAGTAGTTTTGGAGAAGCCAGTACCTTCTGTAAGTATTATTTTTTGCATATATATTTACATAATTTATATACGTACTATATTTTATTGAGTAGCAAGCCACTAAAATATGAACAACAGTAATCTTTATGCAGCTCATTAATAAAATTATATTAGTTTCTTCTTATAAATTTAATTATTTAGGATGTTCAAGTAGATGACGATGAAAGGCCACAGTTATCATGGTGGAAGGCAAAGAAATGGGCACTTACAATTATTTTTAAGGTTTTTGAAAGGTAACTAATAATATAAGGTTTTTATCAAGTAATTATTTTATATATCTAAATTATCAGCAATATTTTCTATTTTTTGAAGTATTTAAAGTATTAATTTAATTTCTTTTTGCAAAGTTGGTTTGGATATTAGCTAGGGCTTGCAAGCAGTTTGAAATCTATTAGGTTTAAACTTAAAATTTGTGTTGGCTGTTTTTAAATCAGTTCATTAACGGATTTCAGTATTTTACAAAGAAATTTTAAAATTTTTGTTGGCTTAAAAAAGGCAATTTCTTATGAAAATAAAATCTCATTGGTAATAATTTAAACTTATTTTAAACAAAAGCTGATAAAATTCTATAATGAACAAAAGTCTACAATATTTTTTTTTCGTAAAATAAAAAATATGGAAATTTTTTCGAATAAATTTTAAACTTTTTTTTAGCTTGAAAACTTATTATAATACAAATAAAAACAAATTTTGGCAAAGTTTATATTTAATATAAGTTGTTGCAAATCAAATTAAAATTATTCAGTTTCTATAAAAAAACAATACATTAAGACATTCTTTTATTACTTTGTTTTGTTTAATATTTCCATGCTTGTGTTGTTTAGACATGTTTTCATTATTTTATTATTTATATACAGCATTATAGAAAAACTTTTTACAGCTAGATACCCTAACATTAACCTGTTTTGTATTTGTATTGTGATACTATCACTAGAAGTATTACCATCAAAGTTTCTCATACCCTTGTATTAGTATTTGAGTACCACCTCAAATACTATTATTTGAGTACCACCTCAAATACTATTATTTGAGTACCACCTCAAATACTATTATTTGAGTACCACCTCAAATACTATTATTTGAGTACCACCTCAAATACTATTATTTGAGTACCACCTCAAATACTATTATTTGAGTACCACCTTGGAGCAAAAGAATATTACCTGTTGCTACAGTATTGTTTCTTTCACAATTTGTAAAATAAATTAATCTAGTTGTTTTAAAAGAGGTTTTTACCCACAACTAGTTTAAAAAAAAAAGTTTTTTACCCACATTTAAATTAAAAGTAAAAATTTAACACAAGATTTCAAAACAGTTTTGAGCCCTACTGCTGAGGAAATTTAAAACTATTTTCCTATTTAAAAAAAAATACTCTTAACATCATTATTGTTTTTCATTAAAAAATAGGTATGGTTGTCCAGGATCAGAAGAAAAAATATATGCTGAGTTTGCAGATTTTTATGACAAAAATTACTCCGGTAAGAAGGTTACTTTCTGTATATAGGTTTTGTTTTTACTTTAGGCCCGTCAATATATTGCTAAAAAATATACTTAATAATATTTGAAAAAACAAAGCTAATGTTGAAGCTTGATTTAAAAATAGTCCTAGCAGCCAAAACATAAATATAAGAGGCTTTATTTTTAAAGGTTGTCATTTAGACAAAGCTCAAAATAAAAATGCAGAAGATTGACAAAAAAAAGTGTAGTAAAGTGATTTTTATTTAAATTGTTTTTAGTTGTTTTTGATTAATTATTAACAAAATGCTGAGATATCAAGTCAACAGCAACATCTAAAAAATAAATACCCATTATGCAAGAGACTTGATCATTAATGAATTTTTTTTCGATAATGATGATAATGACAATGATAATGATGATGACGATGATAATGATGATGATGATGATGATGATGATGATGATGATGATGATGATGATGATGATGATGATGGCTATATGATGATGATGATGATGATGATGATGATGATGATGATGATGATGATGATGATGATGATGATGATGATGATGATGATGATGATGATGATGATGATGATGATGATGGTTATATGATGATGATGATGATGATGATGATGATGATGATGATGATGATGATGATGATGATGATGATGATAATGATGATGGCAAAATATTATTTTTTAAGAACAAATCACTGGAATAATGCTCAAAATTTTAAATCAACACAGAAGTAAAGAATACATTGCTCCTAGGGTACTACAACAAGCAATTAACTATTTAGCTCAAGGGTTTGTTTTTTTCTTTTAAAGATTTTGAGTTTTTTTATGTCAGGCCTTGTTAAGAAGCGTTATGCTGCGTGCAATTATATGTACAAAATGTCAATTTTACCTATGCATTCAGCAATTTTCATTAGGCAAAAACTTCAACTTTTTAGAATGTTTAAATTGTTTTTTGATATTGTTTATGCTGTTATTGAGATAAAGTTAAATTATAATTAATTATTGTAAAAAAAACATGTTAACCACACTTGTGAAACAATTTTTTTATTTTTTTTTATTTGATAAATGAACAGATTGTTAAATGATTTTTTTTTAATAAATTTGATTTCGAAAATTAAAAGTTTAAGTTTAATTTTGAAGGATTGTCATAAATTAAAATGAGTCAAAACATAGAAAGTGTTTTTATGTTGAATAGAATTCTTCTCACAAATTTAACTAAAAAATTCTCTTTCTTAATTCATGTATATCGTGTAAAGTTCTAATGACACAAGTTTTATTTATGAAAAAAACTAAGAACTTATTTACAAACAAATTATTTATGAGCATAAATTATATTTACAATATATTGGTAAATTCTAGTAATAAATGGTTTATAATCTTTATTTAAAGTTCTATTTTTAATTATTTTAATTTGTTTAAAAAAAAAAGATTATTATGTTATGTATAAGATTGTTTTAAGAAATAAATAAAAACATTTTTGTTATAGTTATATTGTTAAAACAATTTTGAATATGATTTAAAATTAAATTAATTACAAAGCGTTACTTTAAAATTTTAAGGATAGTAATATCAAAGCTGAGTTAATTTACATTTACATGCATTAAATGTTTTTTATTAGGCAACGAAATCTTGTAACAAGGCCTGCTATGTATTATTTTGTACATGTAATATTTTTTGTCAAATGAATTAAAGTTTTTAATCAATATAAAATCAGTTAAAACATTTGTAGCAATACTTTATGTTTTATTTTCGAAATATTTTATTTTCGGATTAGAAATTTTTGATGTTAACCGACTGTTCAAACTAATACTGATTGAGCCATGGGATTACACCATCATGGTTTTGGGATTACATTATCAAGGGTATTTAAAAAATTGTTATGTAATGTATTTTTCAGGGTTCACAATGCAAGGTCATGGAAAGTTGTTAAGCCTCATTTTTCGGTAAATTTTTTATTTTCTTTTATTTATTTTTTATAAAAATTTTTAATTTTTTTTTATTTATTTTTTAAAACTCAAAAAAATCTCTTTCTCTAAATATAAATCAAACTATTTAAATATAACTAATAATATATAATAGATATTGATAGTTATTTTTTAACTTTTTTTTTTTTAAATGTAGTTTCAGAGATGATAAGTCCCAAATAGTTTTATATCTCTACTTTTTCCAAGACTGTAGTGTCCATTAGCTACCATTATGCCTAAAGACTCCTAGATCAAAAAACTATTGTTCTTCTAACCTAAAAGTCTTAATTTTCTCCTTAGTAGTCCATAAACTTATTTATATTTTTAGAGCTCCTGGATACCAAAAACTAGGATAAAGTAATCTATTTGTGACTTTCAAATCCAGAGTCCTTTTTTGGACTCCGCATCCCTGTGTAGTTTGCTTAACAACCAGATTGATTGACTGTCCCAATGACATTTTTTAGGACACTGGTACAGCTTACCTAAATCATGATAATCCCCAAAAACCAGGATGTCATTTAGGAGTAATAATATGTTAAGTGAGTTTGTTTTTAGCTATCTCAGTTTTTTAAGAACTTTCCAATCAGTAACTAACTGCTTTGCTTTATCAAATTGAAATTCAATTTTTTTGGTAAGTTAATTGTTGTGTATGTTCTTCTATAAGCAGACATTATCATATATCTAAAAAATGTTTGCTTCTCCATTACTCCAGGGTTTATTAAGTATGGTATTAACAAGAGAAAAAAAGGTCTAGTTACTTAATTGTTATGAAAAATTGTAGAAATAATTTTTCCACTCTTTTACTTCACAATAGTTTTTGTTTATTACATTTAATTAGCAACAACACTGTATTGTATGGGTCCTATTCTGATGTTTAATGTTGGACCTGCAAAAAATGCATTTAACCAATACTAAAAAAAGTGTTCTGACAAGCTTCTCTAGGTTATCCTTAGTGCAACCTTAGATTTTTCCATCATGAAGTATTGCTGTTACTTTGGTGTATACCTCATCAAGCATTATAATGCATGGTTGCTGTCTGTCTTTTAAACTTTGAAATATTTTGAAATTTAAAAAACAGTTATTTTTTGAAGTACTTTCAATAATATCTTAAAAACGAAATGCTTTAGATAAAATAGAAGTTATTGCACTTATTGCACTCTATAAGTGCAATATTGCAGTCAATATTACACTTAATAATTTCTGTGGAAGAATCGAAATAAAATATTTTAAAACCGTATGAAATGTAAATAATTTTTTTTTGATGTAAAGAAGAAATCTTAAAGCATATTATAAATGTTTTAATAATATAGCTGTATTGTTATCACATAAGATTTTTAGATTTATATAGTTAAATTTTTATGAATTAAAGACTTTTTTTTATATTATGACTTGAAAAGCATTGGTCTGCATCTAATATTTGTCATTAAATAAAATTAATCCTTTTGAATATTACTTGCTAATAAACTTGTTTGTATAGTTATGTGTGTTTTTGCTGCTGTTGTTAATATTAGACTTGAATAAATGTTATGAATTATTGCTGAAGGTACATTTCGTCTTTTCTTACCATTAATCGTTATTTAATAAACATTTTTATTCCAATGTGTAGAGCATTTTGAATTTTAATTAAAAAGTTTTGAATTAAGGGTTATCTCATGGATTATCAAGGATTAAACTTTAGGTTTTTAAATTTCAAGCTAAAAAGGTAAACTTTTTATTCAATTGTGCCATTGCATAGTCTGTTGGTAAAATAACTTTTTATATATATTGGTGAAGTACTAATTACTCCACCTTTTGCACAATTGGCATATTTTCTAATGTGCTATGAAAAATAGTTATGTTAAAAATAAACCAAACTCTATATATTACTGATGGTTTTTTGGGTAACAGCTCTACATCTTAATAATGGTATACTTTTTATTTTTGAGAAAAACAAGACATTTAACAATCATAGGTTTTATACCACAAAGATTCTGCTTTTTTTCAGAACTTGTCAATTTTTGTGAGATTATAGCATGGTCTGAACTACGTAAGTTTGAAAAACAAAGAATTGAGAAAAAGCTAAGGTCAGAGACAAAGCAAAGGACATTCTATGTGAGTAAGAGTGCCAGCATTGTACTAGAGCCAACCCATTCAGTGTGAGGTGTCTTTAGGTCACTGATAAAATCTAAATTTGCTGGCAGAAATATCAAAATAGTATTGGAAGACAGAGAAACATCAATAACAAAGAGAAAAGGTGATTAGGTGATAGAGTAGAATCTATTTAAACCTGGTTTATATTTAAGTAATTTCCTGACCAAGCATAAAACTATTGGAGTAAATCAATGGGTAATAATTGTCAACACTGAGCTTTAAGAATAAAATAGTTTTTTTTTCACAAAGAACAAGTAGGAATAAAAATCAATCATAGAAAGTGTACCCTAAGTAATAAACTGTTGTTAAGCAATAAGTTATTCAGTTGTTAAGCAAAAAGCTGTTTAGTTGCCTTACTCCTGCTAATCAATTGTTGATACAAAAGGCTACTTATGTCGTACTTTAAAAACACAAACAGAAATACCTTCCATATCAATGTTAATACTCTGATAGAGAGTATTGACTAATTTTTTTTTAGATTAATCTTATATTAATTCCATTAATCTCATTATCAAGCGATTACAGAACTTTTTAACTTATGAATATACAGTTGAATGCACCGCAAAAAGAATAATTGCTATAAAATAGTAGTTTCTTAGACTATGTTTGCAACTCCAATCTAGTCAACTTATCTTTTATATGTTCTATACATAAATCAAACCATTTGCATTTTAAGTAGAAGTGAAACATGTAAAAATAACAATTAGAATGTACAGTTCAACATGTGGTTTTTGGGATACATTAAAAAAAGAATTAACCAGAATCAATCTTTTTCACTAAATTTGTACAAAATTTATAGAAATATCTCATTAAAATAATTGGTTCATTTCATCCTAGCACCTGCTAATAAAATCATTTCTTAAAAACAGACTTCATAATGTTAGACAGGTTGGACACTACTTCAAGCCAAAAGCTTTACATTTTATGTCTCCACAATTACATTAAAGCATTCATTTAATAAAAAAAATTTTAACTTCCTCTTTCTTTTTTGCAGCATCTTCTTTTTCTTTTAACTTTTTTTCTTTTTATGGATTCAACTACAGATAATACATTGTTTGCTGTCATTTAACCATTTACTCGGGTAACATCTTTTGATAGTTTAGGCTTTATCTTTTCAGTTACCATAAAACCTGGTATTTCTTCCAGTTGAATAATTTTTTTCATGAAGTTTCGATCAGTTCTATAGCTTGTTTGAACTTTGATTTCCAGTAACTTGCTGAACCACGTCTTTTATCAGGCAAATAAATTAAGAGAGATGACTGTTTCTCTGCTTTAATACTCTTTTCTGCTCTTTCAAATTTATTTTTTTGCATAAATTCAACACTCAATGAGTTTTCAGTAACACCAACCCTACTAGCAGGTTTTATAATAGATTCTTTGTTTGCCCATTTGTCTCATATATTAGCTAGAACTAACACAAAAGCTTCTTTATTTAAGGAGCAGATATCTAGAGTCTTTGTGTTTATGATACTTGCTATGAATGTTCTTATTTACTTGGTTAAGAAGTTGAGTAACTCCTGTTGTGTCTGGTAGAGTGACAAAGAGACAAAAAATTTTCAACTCAAGAAAAGATAAAACATCAAAGTCTAGTCTTGAGATATGTCCATCTGACAATAAGATGATGGTCGCTTAACATTTTTTTCATTTAAGTAGACATTGAATTCTTTCAATGCTGCCAAGAATGATTCATAATTTGATACTCCGTTTTATGATGTCGTAACCAACAAATATTGAATTTTATTTGCTGCTTCTGTTGGAACCATACAACTTGTAATACCAGTACATTTAAATATCACCTGGCATATACATATATCCCCTTAAAATAAAAATTGAAAATTATTTTAAGCAAGTATTATTATTTATACATTTTTTCTTTAACCACATATTATTGCATACCTGAAAATGAAACAAATGATTTAATTGTGACACATTCTCTGTTTTCTCTATACATTCTTTGACATACATCCCCTTTGCCAGCATAAAATATTACAGAATTGGTACCATCGACCCCATAGTTTACAAATTGGGGTGTTTCATCACAATTAAATATTTGACTAGTATCAACAATGCCATTCCAAACCCCTGCTTCAATTTTCTATTCATTAACCATAATACCAACTTCTACTAGTTCTTTATCAAGTGAATATGAAATATATTACATGGAAATAAGTATATTTAAAAACATAGATTGATACTTATAACAATTTTTAAACTAATACCTAAATGATTACATGCCATTTTCCTTAAACATTTCAGTTCACGGTTTATAGACACTCTTCTTTGTCGCTTGATGGTAAGACTGCTAAGTTTAGCATTAAAGCGAAGCCAAAATGATAGACTTAATCTATAAAAGAAGACCATTATATAAAAACAATAGTCTGATTTAAAAAAAGGGACATTTAAATATAAAGATGATTTTTATAATCCTATTTAGATTTCATAGGATCATTGTAAGCTTAATGATTTAATTTCAACTTGCTTTCCTTTTTCCAGTGCAGCTCGAGTATTTAATGATAATTTGTGAAACTTCCTACCACTTTTCATCTTTGTATTAGTGTGATGTCTGATACGTAGCACATTTAGAATTAACTTGGTTACTTCCTGTTTATAAATGCTCGTAAAAACCTGTTACATGCAATACATTCCTCTTCATTTTCTGTAAGTATAGTACAATAACCTCTTTCTTTTCCATCTAATCGCCTGTTGTTTGTCTCTCTATCTTTAATAAGAGGAAACATACCAGTCTTTAATGCTGCTTGTCCTCTCCCATTCATTTCTTTGCACCAATTTATAGCAGCTTCTAGTTGCTTATTTTTTTTATTAGTTTTCTGATAACTGTAGCATCAACTTTTGTACTAAGATTTCTTACTTTATTTATACAGAGATGTTGGTTTCATTTTACTTACTATTAATAAATGGATGACAACTTTTTTATGGATGACAACTAGAAACTATCTTCGAGTAAACTATATAAATATTTTATTAAATTTTTTCAAATCTTTTCCATAATCATTAAAAAACTAACGCGGCTTTTGGGGTGCATATGATGTGGAATCTTCTTCAAAAAATCAGGTTAAAATTCTTAACAGTTAAGAAATTATAGCCAAATTAGTTCATGTGGTTTTTGGGGTGCATGGCGATAAAAATTCAACAGTCAGCTTCAACATTCAAGCAAAAGAAAACAAGCAAGACATATTAAACCATACCTATCAGGAAGAACCCCATTTACGCTTATCTTTCAATAATAATTTTAAAAATGTTATTTTTCTCAAGAAAAAAGTTCCCGGCTCTCCTACTTTCACGTGGTTTATAGGGTGCAACCACCTGTAGTTCATTAAAAAAATTTAAATAGTAATTTATTCAAATTATTCAGGATTTTCACATCAGTCAAGAAAAAAAATTTTTTGATGTCCATCATTTTTTGACCTTGGAGTCAAATATAAAATAGAACTAGATTACAGTACTGTAATCTATACAATAATCATCATCTTCATCAATATCGTCTTGAGAGTACATCTCATTTTCAAGATAATGTACTAATGTAGAATCTTCTGGGCACAAAGGGCAACAATGTATCATGCAATTCTTGTTTGCCCTACTACAAACAAGCATATCAATAAGCTCGTGATAATCCTTTGATAATTTAACTGCACTAATAATTAACTTAACATTTTGATGGTAGGTGCACACACATACTGTATGTGTACCTGATGTTCCAACTGTAATGCACCATTTTGGACGATGTGAGCAAAAGTTAGAAAAACAGCTGGATAACAGGTTTTAAACTTTGCATATAGCTCTTTTAGGTTTGAAAGAATCAAACGCTTTTGCATATGAGATCTTCGAGCTATACTAATAAAATATTTTTTACCAGACATTAGCCTGCTATTTTCATCATTACAATAAAGTTCAATAATTTTATTTACTGTGTCTTGAGGTATTTCCTTTCCTTTTTTTTTTTTTTAAGGAAAAGATAAAACACCAATTTTCTGCAGCAATTTGCGTGATATCTGCACCATATAATTAGTAACATTAAATTCTTTTTCTATATCTTTGTGAGACCAAGAAATTGGAACCAGTGTTAGTTGAATTTTCTGATTACGATTGGAAATTAACATTTTTTCTTTGATTTTTCTAATAAGTATATCCATGTCATTTGCTTTACCTTTAACTTCCTTAGATAATTTATTGAAGGAATCTTCTTTACTTAACTGTTCAGGATCTATATTTAAAGTCCTTACAATACCTAACTTTACTGTTTTTTGAATATGTGACAATTTTTTTTTGCCAAGAGCAACTCTTGAGTGACTATTTACAGCATGCATTTTGAGAGGACTTATGTTCATAGTCGTCAAAGAAGAATTAAGATTTTTTTTTAACAA